TATATAAAACTTGGGATTAGCCCACTAGCTCATATGAACATATGAGCCCAATGGCCCAAATTGAATCTGGGCCGATTTGACGATAACGGATGTCTAGTTGTGCTTGAATTTTATTTATTTTTCTACAAATCCAAATCACTTGAAATTTTAAGTGTGTGTTCTTCTCATCAATACGCACCTAATAAAAATATATATAAAAAAATTATTCACGAAAAAAATTATCAAAATACCCCCCTAAATTTTTCAGGGGTATTTTGGTTAATTTATTTCATGTAAAATATTTTTTTGATATTTTTCAAAGATTCACCTATTTTTTACGAACATACATCTAAAATTTTAAGGGTTTTAGATTTGTAGAAAATAAAATAAAATTCAAACACTACTAGCCTTCTTTGATCATCATATCGACCCATATTCAATCTGGACCGTTGGGTTCATATGTTCATATGAGGTAGTGGGTTAATCCCAGCTTTTTCCTTATACAATGGTTATATAGTAGTATAATGCAACCACACATCTCGATAACCATATTTTTGGCATTTGTATGACCTCAAAATTTGCACACACATTCTCTTCATCCTCATAATCAATCATATGAATTTTTTTTTCAATTTGCATCTTAGATATGGTCAAAATTAGTACCCATCCAACAAGAAATCTTGACCATCCATTTGGTGAATTTTAAGATCTAAGCCATAACAAATTCAAAATCATTTTTTTATTTTTTAGCATTATTAATCTAATGATGATAATGCTATATAAAAAGTTTTGGAATAACAAAATCCTTCTGAGGCCTATATCTAACCATCTCAATAAAATGGACCTCTTATATTAATTAGGCTAGAATGAAAACTTTCTAGTGCATTTTTTCAAAATTTTCTCTTTTGGGATTGTTCTTCATAATAAAAGCGTGTACATTTAAAACTTTGTGTCAAACAAATGTCTCTAAAATGGTTTTTGAAGATGGTTGCATTATATTACTATACAACCTTTGCATGAAATCATTCTTATATATATATGGAAAAGTTTATATAGAGCCGAGGCTTTAAACAATCAAATTTGAGCCTACCACAAAAATTTCACTAGAAGAGTTTGTTTTGATGCCCAAATATCTTCAAATTGATCATCTCGACATCAAGATGTATGCACATGAAAAAAAAAATGGATTTCAAGTTTTGGAAATAGTGTATTTTGTAATACATTTTTGGACCGTCGATTTTCAAGATTTTCATAGATCTATCGATCTCCACTATTTTTGAAGCTTTAAACTTTATCAATAAATATAAAAATATATTTTAAGTCTATCACAAAGATCTCTAATATTGAAATCACATTTCTCGACACTATTTGAAGGTAGGCTCTAATTTGATTGTTTAGAGCCTTGGCTCTATATAAACTTTCTAATATATATATCTATATATATATATTAGGGAAAAGTTTATATAGAGCCTAAACTCTAAAGAATCAAATTTGAGCCTGCTTCAAAAATTTTACTAGAAGAGGTTGTTTTGATGCTCAAATATTTTCAAATTGATCATCTCGACCGACATCAAGATGCATGGACATGAGAAGAAAATGAGTCCCAAGTTTTGGAAATAGTGTACTTTGTGATACATTTTTGGACCATCAATTTTCAAGATTTTTAAGTTTATATAGATATGTTGATCTACACTATTTTTGAAGCTTTAAAATTTATAAATAAATAAAAAAATATGTTTTAAAGCTATCACAAAGATTATATACAGGCCGTATTTCCCACCTTTGTTACGAAATGGTCTATATTTTTGAAAATATTATGTCGAGACCCTGCTGCCTCTCTTTTTCTTTTCGTTTTTTTTTTTTTTTTGCTAGAATTACTTTTTTTGTTGGACATTTCTAACACCGGACAAGTGGGAAATTCTCCAAATGTTCTATTTTTCTTTTATTCATGATATGTCCAATATAAAAAACACTGAAGTGCCTTATTTGTTGAGCGGTTTGGTGTTTGCATTGTAAGATTGCCCCAAAAGTCAAGTTCCTAGGGTGCCAGACATCTAGCAATATAGAACATATGAATGTACGGCTTTTTAAAGTTTTAAGATGTCTAGAATGGAAAATAAATAGAGATTTCATTTTAAAAAAGAATGGTGTCAAAATATTCAAAATAAATAGAGAATTTATTTTTGAATATTTTTAAAAAAAAATTCTTTATTTTTGAAGATTTTTTCATCATTATTTTTAAAAAATAAATAACTTTTTAAAAATAAAATAGAAATAATAAAAAAATAACTTTTTTCAACTCAATAGAAGAATTTATAGATAAAAAAAAAAGCGAATTTCCCACCGGTTCTACATTGAAAATATTGGACAAAAGGGGCAAACTTGGCAAAATAAAGGGCCAATGAGGGGGGAGAGGTGGTTTCCATGTAAATTTTTGTAAAATATGAACCAAACAATAATATTGGGGAAATTTGATCAATACATAATTTTGCTTAGATTTTCAGAAAATTTACATCTAGAGATAATTTTGGAAATACCACATGATCCTGATTTTTTCAAAATTTTATGCTCATGCCCATTTTTTATGGTTTCTTTTTTAGGTTAAATATTATAAGGCCATTTATAGTTGCCACAAGGAGGTCACAGTTGTTATTAGCCATTAGATATCAAATTTTGATACTTGGGGGTGTCATAAAGTTCAAAATTTTTTTTTTATTAAACTGAGTTTTGTGACTCCAGGCAATGACACACTTAACACCACCCGATTCGAAATTTAATGGACAAGAGTGACCTCTATGTATTAAACGTAAATGATCTTTTTGTATACTTTTCCCTTTTTTATTTTATTCGAGTTTGAACCCTGGCAAATATCTAACCACTTATTTATTTATTTTTTATTTTTTTTGTGATTCTATGATATGCCCATGATATTGGATCGCCTCATTTTTTAGACCAATCGAATATTGGAAACTTTGGATTGCCCCATACTTAGTTTTCCTTTTTCATTTTTTTTAACACATGGACCAGTATTTTTATTCGACAGTGGGAAAAATTATGTACAGACGGGTTTCCAATGCCATGGGTCATATATTTGTACAGACGGGTTTCCAATTATGGCATGGGTCATATATTTGTAAAAACTATGCATAGACCTACTCCACCTTGTGGCCCCCCTTTTTTTCGTAATTGCTCACTTGTCCGGTATTTTTAACACCAGACAGGTGGGAAATCCCACATTTTCGAGCATCTCTCTAGTAGCAAGGGCTTGTTCGATACTACCGGTCCATGTTTCTACTATGCTAAATTCTATTTTAAGGAATTTTATTGAAAAAGATATATTCAGATACAAATAAAAATAAATAACATTAATTCTATTACATAAAGTATACTAGTTAAATAGTAATAAGTTAAATAATAATAAATACTTATAATAGTTTCGATAAATATGTTTAATACCGGACAACGTGAAAAGTTACGTTGTTCAGCATTAGAAACAGTGGACAACACAGTTGTTTGGTGTGCAAATATTAGACTAGCCCTAGGTAAGAGATATTGTTTATAAGTTGAGATGTTCAATATTACAAAAGCTGAACATCGAGTATGTTCGGTTTAGGTAGTACCAAGTGTGCCCTTAAATACCGAAGTTTTTCCAACTCTTTAGCATTGGAGAATTTTTTTTTAACAAAAAGGAAAAAAAAGAAGAAAGAAAAAAAGAGGAAAGAAAAGAAGGAGCCAGCAATGAAGTGGTCTCTGCATAATTTTTAAAAAATATGACCCATAATGTAAAAACAAAATGTCGTCCATATTACGTAAGAAGAAGGTTAAACCGTTTTTTTTTTACTTTTGAAAACGGTAACTGAGAGAGAGGAGGACGAGGAGGGAGAAAGGATGAGAGAAGAAACGGCGCATTTGCAGTTGCCGTAGAGAGACCGATTTTGTAGGAGATAAGAGATGAGGGCATGCAAGAAGAGAGAGAGAGAGTTTTTGTTACTTGTTTTTAGTGCAAAAGCGCTGGACAAGCTCTCCACCTCACACCGAGGCTCTTTTCAGTTTGAAGGGTGGCCGCACCACTCTCTCTACTCACCTCCACCACCCCATGCAAAACCCCACACCATTCTCCTTTCTCTTTCTCCACGTTCATAATTTGAGGCCATGAACGCCGAAGGTCCTCCGGCTGCACCATCATCCAACAGCTGCTTATATGCGTCTTCAAACTCGGTGCTGCTCTCCTGGCAGGCCATCATCGCTCTGGTGACCTCCGCGCTCCTCCACTTCATCCTCAAGCGGCTCCGCCAGCCCCGCATGGTCTCTGAGATCTTAGTAAATCCCCCCCCCCCCTCCCCCTCTCTCTCACTCTCTTCCTCGTTCTTTGGAAATTATAGAAACCTGCATTTATATTTGGATACAAGATTTTATTTTCTTAAGGCCCAAATATATATATATATATAGAAATACAATTTCTAAGGGTTGTTTGGAGCAGGCGGGCCTGATCATCGGTAGCATCCAGGATGTGAAAGATTTTATATTTCCAAGTTCCAGCTATGAAGCCCTCGCCTCTGTATCGATGGTAGCAATGCAGTTCTACATGTTCCTGGTCGGCCTCGATATGGACCCCCTCTCCCTCCTCTCCACCTCCCCTGACTCCCGCTCCCCCTACATCGCCTATGCGAGCGTCGCCACCTGCTCCCTCCTCTCCATTGTCGCCGCCCCCATCGTCAATACCCTCTCCTCCTCCAAACTCGGACACATCCCCTTCTCCATCTTCCTCACGCTTTTTCTGTCTAACACCTCCTCCCCAGTCCTTGCCCGCCTCCTCAACGACCTCAAGCTCCTCAAATCCAACGTTGCCTCGGTTTCCCTCCGCGCCGCCCTCCTAAATGACATGATGTCTCTCTTCTTCACCTTCATGATCGTTTCTTATGTCGAATTTATGGGTCGCAACATCTGGGGTGAGAGCATTCCCAAGTACCTGGTGCTCTTGATCGGTGTCGCTGTTGCCACCGCCTTTGCCTTGACTGTTATCCATGCTGTCGGCTCGGCTGTCTCCTGGCTGAACGACCACAACCCTGACGGGAAGCCCATGAACCCCAACCACGTCTCCCTCATCTTGTTCGTGGTGGTGGTCGTGTGCTCCGGCTTCGAGGCCATCGGTTTCAGTTCGATCGTGGGGTCGTTCTTCTTCGGGCTTCTGTTCCCAAAAGAGGGGAGGGTGTCGAGCATGCTACTCCAGAGTACGAGTTATGTTCTGTACACATTTGTGATGCCGGTGTTTTTGTTTACGGCGAGTGTGGACGCGAACTTGAAGCTGGTGGCGAATACAAAAGCGTTGGGGTTGCTGGGGTTGGTTTATGTGCTTGCGGCAGGCGGAAAGCTGGTGGGGACGGTCACTGCCGCGGCGGCGGTGGATATGCCTCTCCATGAAGGGGTGGCGGTGGGTTTGCTCATGAATGTCAAGGGGCCGTTCCATATGATGTGCTTCCATTTTGCCAGGAGGATGAATGTGAGTACTCTCTCTTTTCCCTCCCTAACCAACTCTTCCCCTCTCTTTGCAATGAGCTTTCCTCTTTCTACCATGCTCTTCCCCCTCGTTACCTCTGTGTCCCTCTTTCACAATCATATCTCATCAGCTTCCCTCTGCATTTGCATTTGATTCAAGTTTGCATACTACCGCACAATTTATCATATCAATTCATACAAGGACCTCACAAACACTCCAGCCTAACATATATCATGAAGTATGAAAAATTTATGCTTTTACTATGAAATTAATTAATAACACATTTATAACCACCCCATTTAAAATCTTACTTACTCAAGAAAGTAATTGCAATGGTTTTTTTGTATACTTTTCCATTTATGTAAGGGTGTGGTTTGTATAGAGCCTAAGTTCTAAACAATCAAATAAGAGACAACCTTCAATTAGTATCAAGAAATGTGCTTTTAATACGAGAAATCTTTTGATTGCTTTAAAATATATTTTTATATTTATTTATAAATTTAATTCTTAAAAATAAGTGTAGTCTATGAAAATATTGAAAATTGATGGTTCAAAAATACGTTATAAAATGTATTATTTCCAAAACTTGGAATCCATTTTTTCCCGTGTCCATGCATCTTGATGTCGAGATGATCAATTTGAAGATATTTAGGCATCAAAACAACTACTTTTAATTAAGCTTTTGATGTAGGCTCAAATTTGATTGTTTAGAGCTCCGCTCTATATAAACTTTTCCCTTTATATGTAATCAACAATAGTGGAATGATCTCGTGTCACTCTGATCTAACATTGCAATATAATGTCCTCTATAATATAAAAACACTTACAAACCCTCATGAGAAAATTTATATAGTATTTTATTTACGGAAAGTATATAATTAAATAATTTACCTTTGCACAAGGTGGTCACAATTAATCTTGACCATTGGGTGTGAAATTTGGTGGATGCATTTATTTCATTGACCAAACTCAAAGTTCAAAACAACTTTTCTCGAACTATGTGGCATACCTAAGCTATCAGATTTCACATAGGATGGTTGTAAGTAATCCTGACTTTCCTGTTAAATGGTCTCATTGTATACTATCCATTTTA